GAAACGTGGTTCCCCATTGGAATGCATTGAAATCTATTTAATGCGTTCCAATGTGGAAAAATATTTGTCTTGCGAAAATCGTCGATAGGAAACAATTGTCTTGCGAAGCGCAACAGCGATCGCAAAAACTAATCATCTTGCGGATTAATCGTTTCGCGAGTTAATTGTCTTGCGAGGCACCACTGTATACTCACTGTATTCAGATTTAAATATTGTCTTTCAAGGATGTAAGCTGCCTTGGGTCCTTTTTAAGGAGAAAGGCAGGGTCAAAATATTTTAAATAAAAATAAAATAAGTGAATATTCTTGCACGTTCTTGGGTCTAGCTACGCAGGAATGGCATGTCTGACTGATTCTGTTCTATGTTTGAATTTGTTTCAGTTCACTTGATGAAACTGGCTCCATATCACATGACTTACCTGCTTTTACAGATTCCAGAGATAAGCGAAAGGAGGAATGTTACCAGCATGCAAACAGGTACAGAGGCCTGTTTCAACAGTTCCACAATAATACTGGCTTCGACTCCTTCTGATTGCCAGTGGGTGAGCTTAATAGGCCCCTCGTCATACCTATCTTTCATGAAAAGTAACCTGCTGTTTGCAACAGTATCAAACACAGCAGCAAGTCTGGAATTGTCTACTCCATTCTGATCAGAAGAATGAAGGGGATCCTGCAGAGAGTGAAGCTGAGAAAGCATCACTTTGCGCTGGTCATAATAAATTAAGATAATTTCATCTTCCTCGTTGCCATTAGACTGGTTCCTAGTGGCCACGCAGCTCCAAAACTTGCTGTTTTTCTCCCTGCTGAGTTGGATCCAGGGGTCATGTGAAAAGATGGCACCAAGATCTTCAAAGAACCTTTCCAAATTCTCTTCCTTGGTTTGTTTGCTGTTAGACCACGAGCCCAACACAGACAACTTGACTCGTGTGGCATGTTGCATTTCAGAGAGATACTGCTTCACCTGTCCAGGGATAAAAGGGAAGTGGATCACAGCCAAGACCACAGCGGAGTTCTGCTCTGGAATCCATCGTCCAATCAGAAGGCCACTTTCTGCCGAGGAGCAGCAGAAAGGGAAGAAGATCTTCACCACCATGATAGAGAAATGTGGAAAATACAAAACCTAGAGATAAAGCAGACATACAGTTATACTCAGATACTCATGAGTCAAAACACTAATGTGCATGAAGATAACTTAAAAGTTGAGAATTTAACCCCAGCCGAAACAACTAAGACATGTGTAGCTGCTTCTAAAACTGAAAAATAAAGCAATTGTCCTTTTGAGATGCTTGTTTTCAGCTGAACCACAGTGCAGGACTAAAAGGAATGGATGGAGAGTTACATTTCATCTAAACTTGGGAAGAAATTTCCTACCAGTAAGAACTCTATAACCATGGGAAGAAATTACCTTCAGACTTGGTGGGCTTTTCTTTTTAGGAGATACTTGAAATGTTTTCTACAACTTATTCAGGAAAGCAAACAGTAACTTACCTTTTAAATTCCTTTGTTTAAATTCCTTTGCTGAGCCAGGAACAAAGATAGCAAGGCAAATGTTGTAGACACACACACACACACACCCCACTCTGAATTCCAAGGTGACACTAAAATCTCTATTTGTATAACCAGAAATGAAATGCTGACCAGGAAATAAGCAAAACTGTCTCTTTAAATAACTCAGCAGCATCCAACAGAAACATCATTCCCGTGATGGGTGGGGGGTAAGCCCAGAGATAACAACATCCGGCAATCATTGTCCTTTTCTGTCCTTCAACACGGCACCAGGCCTGCCATGTGAAAAACTCAAACCATCCCTCTGGGTGTATACTCTTGTGTGGGCCCAATGATTAGAACTTTTACTGCCTCCTGTATACAGAAGAGGGACGCCCCTGCTTAACCTTATTTCTCTTTAATGAAGTACAATAGAGCTCTCTAATAGCTTAAGATTCTACATTTCTCCCCAGAAAAGATACAGGTCATTTGAATTGGGACATCTTTGCAGCCTGGCTGATTTACTCAGAGAAAACACCAGCCTGTCAAACGATGCTGCAGGAGGCAATGTGTTTTCATGGATGAATTCCCAGTCCCTTGAGGGCAGAAGAGCAATGTCTGTTTGGTACATGTCCCGTTTACGTGTAGGAAGACGATGACCACAATTACTGGGCTCAGGCCTCACTAGCCTTTTCTTTTAATAAGTGCTGAAGGGCCCTCTTTCGCTGAAAAGAAGATGTAGACAGCTAGGAAGAACTTGGGAATGCCGTTGGGTACGAAGTGAGCAGCCTCACTCACCGAGTGATAATTCCTCTTCAGTCGACTGGAGCAGCATTCACTGACAAACCCGCAGCCTCCACTACCCCACGCTTCGGCAAGAGCACTTGCTCCCAAACCGGGGGGGTGGGGGGTTTGAAGAAATTCTATGGGGAGCACAAGACTAGGATATGTTCATAGCAGCAACCTATTTTTTATGACTGGAAACATTTTTTTAAAATGTCACATTCATTTTGTTTCTGCCTTATTCCTCAAGGCACATTATATTTTTATTTATTTTTGTGCCAAGAAAAACTATTTGTCCTCATTTTTAATTCCCCCCCTACCGTTTGCATTTATATTGAATTACAAATTGTATTTTTTTGTAAAGAAAAGCGGGGAGGTGGGAGTGTTTCTCAAGAGATCAAAAAGAGGGCAGGAGCTGGTGACTTTAGCCACTGCCGGTCAGGGTGGATAAAAATCAACCATTTTTAAAAAATCAAATTGAGTCAAATCATGATTGAAATCAAGATTTCAATTTAAAAATCTGATTTTAAAATTTTAATTGGGATTTAAATCTAATCCACTCTGCTGCTAGTACAGAGGGCCGGATTTAAATCAAATCCACTCTGCTGCTAGTACAGAGGGCCAAACCTGAGCTTCAAAGCAGGATCTCAGAGCAGAATTTAATACTGTGGCACATCCATGCTCTGGTGTCTGCAGAGCAAACACGAATGCAGGGACAGCAACAGCTTTTGAGGGAGTGCAAGAAAACACCATCCCAGATCCACCAGCTGTCCCCTTCAACTGCTCACTCTCAGCTGTTTTTCTTTTGGCCATACTGTTTTTTCTTTGTTCAGATAGGAAAAAAAAAATTGAAAACTGAAGTTAGCAGAACAAGGGTGAGCCAGCTGCAATCTTGCAGAACATGTTGGACTATATTTCCCATCTGTCCTCGACAGTATAACCAGTGGTAAGGATGTTGTGTGCTGCAGTCCAAAAGATCTGTACAGCTGCACTTTGCCCACCCCTGTACGAGTAGTGGAACATTTGTTGGGAGGAGAGAAGTCAGTGGGTAAGTGTCTCTCACTTGTCTCCTAAATCTGCCCAGTGGTTTAGGTATCTGGCTGTGGAGCCAGAAATTGGGAGTTTGATTCCCCAACTGTACCTCTTTGACAAGGGCTGGACTTCAGGATCCATAGGGTCCCTTCCAGCTCTGTAGTTCCAAGAGTATTCTTATTCTAAATGCTTTGTGAAGAATATAAGGGTTTGGGACAAATTTATATTTTGCTTGCAGTGGGCTCTGGCTGCTACAATCTCCCATAACTGAAAAGAGATGAAATACTAAGTCTACAGCAGCAATTCTCAATAGGGTCATATGGCCCCAAGGGGGTCCTGGCACATCTGAAGACTAGAAACACTTCTTCACGTACCATCCTATAAGGTTTGTTATATGACTTACACAATGCTTGCAGTGGGCTCTGGCTGCTACAATCTCCCATAACTGAAAAGAGATGAAATACTAAGTCTACAGCAGCAATTCTCAATAGGGTCATATGGCCCCAAGGGGGTCCTGGCACATCTGAAGACTAGAAACACTTCTTCACATACCATCCTATAAGGTTTGTTATACGACTTACACAACCCAGATTCAGCCTATATTTCTTTCATCTTATGTTTATGTGGCAAAAAAAAGAGATGAGAATGGCTGGTCTACTCTAGATCAAAAAGAACACTGTGCGAATGCACAGGAGGATAACACAAAACCCGAAAAAGAAACAAACAAGCTTAAGGCATTATTGAGCACAGCACACAAATGCAAAGTTCATTCAGATCTGCAGTATGCCTAAACAGCACCAGAATATGCTTATTAAGCCATGGGGATGGCGGTCATAAAAGCTCTTTATTGTCTGAATACTAGGACCTCAGAGTAATGAAAGGTTATTTTAAAAGCAAGCGCTGATGCTGAACCAATAGAACCACTTCTGTTCAAAGATTTTTTTGGTAATATTTGAAAAAACCTGCACAATCTCATTAGAGACAAAATGATTACATGTACACATCATATCAAATAATATCTTTATCATACTGTTTTCCACTCTCTGACAACTTCATCAGTGTAACAGGAAGCCCTATTTCAATTGTACAACAAAACCTTCAGATTGGACATCTACTGAACAGATTAACTTGCTTATATATATTTTTATCTTTTTAAACCACCCTTATTTCCAAAAGAGGGCAGCAAAAATTGAAAAAGTACATTCTACAACAGAAATCAGACAGAACTCAAACAATTCAAGACAACTGAGCTCAGGAAAAAATGGCTAAAGACGATATACACAGCAAGCTTTAGAACTTAGCAGGCATTTGAACTCAAGCCCCCTGAGATTAATTCCAGAACTCAATCTACAAGAGATAGTCAATTCATTTACGCTTGGGACCCTCTGCTCTGAAGATAGCCAGGTGTGAGCCAGTACTATATTTGCTACACAGACTAACAAGAGATACCTTATGTGATCAGACAGCTGTACTTAAGCACAGCATTACATAATTATAATTACAAATATACAATGATTTTAGTGTTCAAAGCAAATTCTTAAAAAACAAAAGAGAAGACACTGAATGCAACAAAACAAAGAGGAATGAACTGTTCTCTGAAGTTCCAAAATCAATTCAAATCCCATGTACAGTGGACCCTCTACTTACGGAATTAATCCATATTAGAATGGTGGCTACAGGTTGAAACGTCTGTAGGTCGGGTCTCCATTTACCTACAATGCATTGAAATCTGATTGATCCCGTAACCGGCCGTTTTTGTTCCATTTTTGTTCCATTTTGGTTTTTTTTCTGATCTGTAGGTCGATTATCCGGCTGCAAGTCGAACCTAAATTTTGCGGCCAGAGAAGTCTGTAACTCGAAAAGTCTGTAAGTCGAGCCGTCTGTAAGTCGAGGGTCCACTGTATTTTTAAACACAAGGTTTCCTTCCTTGGATGTAGTAAGCAATCTGGAAAGTTAACTCCTTTACAGTATTTTGTTATTTTATGGTTTGTTGCCATTTTAAACCACCCAGAGTAGCCCTGGCTGCCAGAAGAGCAGCATATCAATAAAATAAATTCATTCAATCAATCAATTTCATTGCTGTATATGTACCTTATTATGCCACAGCCCATTCACTAGGTCAGACAAGCCCTGATTACAGAATCATCTTAATTAACATTTGATGCTTGTGGTTGACGTCACTCTCCAGGATGTCTGGCTCAAGGTCAGCAACCACACTATCTGGGTTGTCTGGGATATCCAAATCTTTCTGGTATAATTCCTCTGTGTATTCTTGCCACCTCTTCTTGATGTCTTCTGCTCCTGTGAGGACCCTACCATTTTTGTCCTTTATCATATTCATCTTTGCACAAAATGTTCCTTTAATATCTCTAGTTTTCTTGAACAGATCTCTGGTTTTTCCCCTTCTATTCTTTTCCTCTATTTCTCTGCACTGTTCATTTAAGAAGGCCCTCTTGTCTCTCCTTGCTATTCTTTGGAAGTCTGCATTCAGTTTTCTGTAGCTTTCCCTATCTCCCTTGCATTTTGTTTCCCTTCTCTTCTCTGCTATTTGTAAGATACTACCTGAAGATCAAATGGTAGTACTGTATCTTCAGGCTTGTGGCATGGGAGAAAGAGGGAAGTGGCAAAAATGTATCTATTCATCTGTCTATTCGAGGCCTTACAAATAGCCAGATGAATAGATACATTTTAACTTGCCACTTCCCTCTTTCTCCCATGCCACAAGCCTGAAGACACTACCATTTGATCATATTGAAATAGGGCAGAAAAAAGCTTTATTTTTTTTACAATAGAATGAAATCCCAATTCCAGTGAAAAACTTAAAATATCTGAGAAAGAGGAACACAGTCCAAAAGCGCCAAATAGCAGAGGGCAAAGTAACCAAATATAAAAGGAGTCAGGTTTTTGTATCTTACTCTGAAGCTGAGAAAAACATTTCAGCATATCGGGATTTGGGGGTGTAAATCTATTTGCTATGTCTCGCTTTTCTCCTTCAGTGGAACTTAAGGTGCCGTATAAGTGCCAGCTCCACACCTTGCTTCCTTTTAGATACCCATTTAGAATTGGGTGGGTAAGTGGAAAGAGTACCAGCCGAGCTGCTCCTATTTGTTAGCTTTAAATCTTGTCTTTTAACCATGTAAGCCATCTTTGCATACTCATTGGTTTTAGCTTTATATAAGCCATCTTGGGTCCTTTTTAAAGAGAAAGGCAGGGTAAAAAATATTTTAAATAAATAACCAACTGCTTCCCTGTAGTCATCAGAAGAGAAAACCTTTCAGATGTTCAGAGATTCTGAGCTCTCCATGACGGATCAGGAAAATCTTGTCTTTTAACCATGTAAGCCATCTTTGCATACTCATTGGTTTTAGCTTTATATAAGCCATCTTGGGTCCTTTTTAAAGAGAAAGGCAGGGTAAAAAATATTTTAAATAAATAACCAACTGCTTCCCTGTAGTCATCAGAAGAGAAAACCTTTCAGATGTTCAGAGATTCTGAGCTCTCCATGACGGATCAGGAAAGAGATCTTGGCAGTCATCAGAAAACCTTTTAGATGTTCAGAGATTCTGAGCTGTCCATGACAGATCAGGAAAGAGATCTTGGTGTGCTGGCAGACAGCTTGATGAAAGTGTGGTGAGGGCATCTGGCCTAGATGCTTTGAAAATGGGATGAGACAGATTTATGGAGGAAAAGCCCATCACAGGTTACCAGCCATGATGGGGATGTATCATCTCCAGGCTCAAAAAGAAGGTACCTCTAAATGCCAGATGCAGGGGAGGGGGGAAAGGAGACAGGTCTCTCGTTGTCTCCCAGAGGCATCTGCTGGGGCCCCTGGGAGAAAGGAGACAGGTCTCTTGTTGTCTCGTGGGCTCCCAGAGGCATCTGCTGGGGCCCCTGGGAGATCCAGGAAGCTGGACTAGATGGGTCCTTGGCCTGATCCAGCACAGGGCTCTTCTTAGGTTCTTATGTTCTGAGGCTGGAACTCCCGTCTTCCCTCACAACAGATTATGCCAGCCACTGCAGATGAGAACTGAGGTTCAAAAACTCCTCGAGAGTCAGATTATTTATTTACCCTGTTTTCCCGAAAATAAAACCTAACCTGAAAATAAGCCCTAGTAGGATTTTTCAGGATGCTCGTCATATAAGCCCTACCCCCCAAAATAAGCCCCAGTTAAGTGAAACCCAGCCCTCCACCATTGTACAGCAACCAGAAGACATGACTGTATTTGAATAAATGTAGATGGTTGTCCATGAAAAAAAAATACCCCCTGAAAATAAGCCCTAGTGCATTTTTGGAGCATAAATAAATATAAGACCATGTCTTATTTTCAGGGAAACAGGGTATTTAAAATTTCCCCCCCCCCACCTTTCTCCCAAGAAAGGACCCAAAATGCCTTACATCAATAAAACACAACATCAAAGCTCAAAAGAGTCAGTTATCCAAATATTCAACGAAATAATAACATTATTACATGCAGCGTTAGGTAACGCATGAGTAAAACAGATTTAAAAGCTACAAAATGCATGCAAACCAGCTTCTTTTAAAACCTCTCCTAGACAGTCTAAAAGGGAAAGCCTGCCTAAGGAGAAAAGGTCTTGTCTGCGGGCGGAAGGGCAGCAACGAGGGGGCCAGCTTGGCCTCCCGTGGCAGGGAGTTCCACAGGACATGGAGAGAAATCTAATAGCTCTGAAAAGCGTCGAATATGAAGCCCGCCCGAAAGCAACTCATTCCTCGCAGTCGCTCCCTCCTCTCCTTCCTACACAATTTCCACCACAATTTCCACCTTCCATACTTACTTCCCTTCGCGTTTTCTTTCAGCAGGTGCCTCTTCCACCTGCAGGGACAACAAAAAGCAGGGCCCCGCCGCTTGGCTTCAAGCCACTTCCGGGTGCTGTCGGCCGGTTGCTAGGAGACCAGGTTCTCCTCTCAATGTGTTCCGTACAGATTCCTAGCTGTGTTGAATTAGCGTTCCTAAGCATTGAAGTTCCGTACCTAATCGAAAGCGGGAGCACCGCGGCGTATAGACACTTCAAATAAATAAACATGAATAAAATTCTCCCTATAGAGAGGCCTCCTGATGAGCTGAAAACAGTTTAAGCTGCTTTCTGTCACTCTTAGTTCTTTCTTTGCCCCTCTGTGGACCGCCTGCTCTTTTCTCTTTGGCTTCTCAATTTCCATCCATGTATCTCACAGACAACCTTGAATGTTGGACACATTTTTTAAAAGACTCTTGTTTGGCTGTCACCTTTTATTATTATTTTTTTATCCCCCTTTTAAATTCCATTAAAAAAGAAAATGCATGGCTACCTATAAATCTTACCACAAAATTCAGATGATTTCAAGCAGTAACCCTGGGTTCCTTTATATTGATACTCTGGAAGAAGAAGAAGAAGGAAAAAAACCCAGGATATTATATATTCACCTTGAAGCCTTTAGTTTCATACCAATCTGATGAGGTCTCCTGGTTTAAATATGAGAGAACAGACCCCCCCCCCAACAGCAAATTACTCTTGGCTAGTCACAGGAGTAAAAATATTTTCTCTACAAAACCAGGGAATGTGAGTAAAATTCAACCGTTGCTGCCACTCCCTCTGTGAGAGCCACACACCTCCCTTCCAAGGCAATCTGCTTTTTTCTGATAAGCTTCAAAACTGTTTTCATAATTCTCGGAAATATGATTGAACCCTTTTGTCAGAAGCTGATAGCGATACAGAATAGATCTACATATGCTATTATGCATGTCTTATTTGTGACAGTCCAGCTTCTGCAATGAGGTCCTCTCTCTCTTTTTATATTGTTTGCACACCATTAGTCTTGTACAAAAAGAAATACAGATGTGTTATAAGCGATAGAATAATAAAGGACAGGAAACAACGTGGTTTATAACATTCTTTTATTATTTTGACCTATTCAACACACTGTTATGGTCTAATATCAGGTTATGATTAGATAACTGCATTTAAATTTATCCTAATTGTTACTATTTTCTGTGATATTCCAGTAGTTCCCTCTCCACAACATTCATATACATTGGAGAAAAAGTACTCTTTAATAATACAGTACATTGGCAAAGACACTTCCTATTTTGTACAAGGATGGAGAAAATGAGACACGGGAAATGTATGCACGTTTTCCAAGAAAGAAGTTCCTCTAAATTCAGTGAGATGTCCGTTGGCACGACACATTGCAGAAAATCCACAGTAAAGTTTTTACTGTCTGTTAGCTGCAACTCAGAGAGAAACTGGATATCACACGCATGTGTGTGACATAAATGGAGCTGCTATCCAGCCAGTGCCAAAGTAGCTGAGAAGCCTCCCAGCACTGGCCTTCTGGCAACATTTCTTTTTAATCCAGGAAGGAAGCTCCAATGACTCCATTTTTGCCACACAAGGAGCTGGCTGCAGAGATTGGGGCGTACATCTTGCTGCTACCCCATCCAGCTGCCCAGGGGAAAAGAGCCTGCATGTGTTTTAAAATGGCACCCTATGTGAAGGCATGTGAAGTGGTGAAAGTCATTTCCCACTGACACCACTTTGAAGCAAACATTTAATTCCAGCCTTGCTTTCACTATACCAGTAGGACTGCCTCCTGACTCTTCTGCACGTTTGACCTTTTGCTGAATCACCAGGTTAACAGTTAGTGAACAGTTAACAGGTTAACAAACAGTTAACAGGTTAACGAACAGTTCGGCTTCTGTCGTCTGTTTCATACGTGATTACAAAATGCATTTTGTCAGCACTCTTCAAATAGTTCCCAGGAAACAATTTCATGAAGTTGGGGACAATGTCCACTCACCATAAGAGGAATTGTGGAGATGAAGAACTGGAATAGGAAAAAAAATAAGATACAATATCTCCTTGTAGGAGATATTTAATAGTAACTTACCAACCTAAGCAGGTGGGGTACCCATTGACCTGGAGCGCTTGAAGTTCAGGAGATTCTACTCTTGTCTCTCAACTGCTACCAGAAGATGATGCTCATAAGCCACTTCTGAGTCCTCTATACTGTACTTAGGAATCTCTGGCACAGCACATAATTACTCTTATTCCAGTCCAACCACCGTCACCAAGGGAGCTTGTAGCCACAGACCGAAGAGGATTTGCTGAAGGGTTTTATAATGACAACCCTCTCAAACCTGGCTGGAACAGCCTCTGCGCTACTTAGGAGAAAACATCTGGGTACCACACTTTGAAAATACAAGATAGATTTAATGGATTTTGGCATTTGGTAGTAATTTACGTCCCGATGTTCCGATCAGTGATCGATGCCGAAACAAGTTCTACAATTTTTCTTACTCATCACAAGGTGGTAAATGTGAGTAAAGATCGAATAGGGTTAGAAGCAACATTTTTTTCCTTCTTCTTCAAAGCCTCTAATTTATTATGTTCTCTTTTGATAGTTCCCCCCCCTCAAGGAGAAGTAACATCGCCTCACAAAGCCAGAGCTGAGAGTACAGTAAGTTCATTCTTGAAACAAGAGAACAAGTGTTTCTAGCTATTGACAAAGACATTTTGGCTGCTTTATTGTACAGTTAACCCACCTCACATACAGATTTTTACGGAAAGTTCAGTCAGCACTGTAGTCTACGTATAGCTCTCCAGTGTAGTTTCACCTTCTCTTTTTCCTACTACAAGAAATCAATTTAAAAGTGAAAGATGGAATAGTTATTTTTCTTAATGGTAGGGCTTAGAACTGTTCATCTAGAGCTCCGCCGGTAGAAATTTATTGAGAATTGTTTTCTTTAAATACATTAAAGAAAACAATTCTCAATAAATTGTTTATTTATTTATTGATTAATTTTATTTATATCCCACCTTCCTCGCAAAACGGGGACCCAAGGCCGCTGGGTCTCCCTGTCCCTCTCTCTTATGTTTTCCAGGCCTGTTTTGGATAATGCTGCTTTCTTTCCTGTTTGGCTGAAGTCGACTCTATGACAAAGGTATCCCTTGCTGTAATAAATCCATGCCATCACTAGAGCAATTTAATACATCCTTTGACATTTGAATATGCTGTTGGGTGAGGTAGCATGACCATAAAATTGACATAGTAAATAGATACATGTAAAGTGTGATGATGGCGAATCTATTCTGCCCTGCCTTGAGGTCCTAGAGAGTAGAAGTTAGAGTGTGGCTGTCATCGTGTATAAAATGAAGGTCAGAACTGTAATGGGGCCTCACACGGTATCTGAAGACTTTAACATCGTTGTCTCCGCTATCGGTCACAAAAAGCAAGCCCTGGGTGGAACAAGCAATTCCTGTCGGCCTTTGGAGACCTTTGGAGACCAAGCAGATTGGAGATCCATTCCTGGGAAACAGATGTACACTCTGATGCTGTTCATCCGCTACCATGATGTTGCCTTCTCTATCAGTACAGAGGCCGGCAGGATTTCCAAACTGGTGGCCGTATTTACGGCTGATGGAGGAGACCAGTTTGTGATTGCTGTTGAACAGTTTGACATCTCCACATTCTTCGCTGACCACGAATCCTCCTTCTGGGGCTGAGCACACATAACGTGGCCCCTCCAGGTTGGAGACAGAGTGGGTGCCTTGCACCTTGAAAGCACGGTCCAAGGCAAAACTATAAACCTTCCCTTCTGTGTAGTCCGCCACCAGTATTTTTCCGGAAGCATCTACAGCAATGCCCCTAGGAGAACAAAACTTCCCAATTCTTAGCCACTCGCCCTCGGAGAACTTGGAATGATGACTGAAGATGTGGATAGTTCCGTTCAGCAGGTCTGTCACAGCCACCATCCCTGCCCTGGTGACAGTCACATCCTCTGGCAAGAAGGTCTCCTTCTTCTTCCATTCTACACATGGCAAGGCCTGAAATGTTTGGCCTGATTGGTGGCGGATCTGGACGTTGGGTGCGTTTTCACTAGTCACGTAAATAGATCCATCCAGTGAGCAGTGAATTCCACATACGTTGCCATAGTGTCTACCATTGGGGTTGGGGATTTTGCGAACCAAGTCATTCTGCCGGAAGTAAAGATGGTTTTTGATATTGTCCAGGTCATGGCATATGGTCTTGGCTTTCTCTGCCAGCTGGTGAACTTGCTGCTCTGTCACCATGCCCATGCCAGGGTGGCTGTTCAGGAGAGGACTAGCTTTCTGAAATGTGACATCAGATTTAACTTGGAGGCTGTAGACGGCCTTCAGAAGCTTCTCCTTGCGCTGTGCATCCTCCAAGGTATAATCCATGCTTTCCCTCTGTCAAAAAAAACCCAAAACAGTGGCTATAAAATTGTAGCATATAAAGGCATGCTTTGAACTTGCTACTTCAGCAAAGATGTTGAGTTATTATCGTAGACATAATAGGCATTATTCTAATAGTGGTGCCTTGCGTAACGAGGACAATCCGTTCCAGCGAAATCGCTGTAGAGCGAAAGCCTTGTTAAGCGAAATAAAAAATCCCATTGAAACGGATTGAAAACCCGTTCAATGTGTTCCAATGGGCTGAAAAACTCACCATCCAGCAAAGATCCTCCATGGGGGCAGCCATTTTCAGTGCCTGCAAAGCGAGGAATCTGTCCAAAAACACAGCGGGGAGCCATTTTACACAGTGGGCGGCCATTTTGAAGCCACCAATCAGCTGTTTTAAAAACATCGTAATGCAAAGAATTGGTTCCTGAAGCAGGGAACCAATCGTCAGGAAGCGAATTTTGCCTATTAAAACATTGCAAAACAGTCATCGTATAGTGGTTTTGTCGTTTAACGAGGCAATCGTTAAGTGAGGCACCACTGTACTCAGTAATTACATATAAGGAACATTGGAAGCTGATTCATGTGTAGTGCACTAGTTAGGGTGTGTGTCTGTGCGTGCATGCGTGTGTGCATGTGCGTGAAGCATTATGGGAGTTCAAGCCCACAGTTCCATACTATAGACACCTACATTTTGCTCACCTGGATGACGGCCTATTTCCGAGGCCGCATGACTGCCTCAGACCTTGTTTCCCATTGTTAATGTACAAAAAAAGGAAGTCATTACAGTACTTCCAGGCAGTCATAGTCTCGCTGATGGTCAAAAGACACGACACAACTGTTTCATCTTTTCCACATAGGTGGAAAAATATGGTGGGGAACACAGGTAGGTTGGTGGAAGGCAACAACATATGGACTCCCCCCCCAAAATAAAATTCTAGTAAGGAAGCAGGACAGTAGCCATGTGGCAGCCTTAAACTCAAAGGGGTAAAGGTGAATCCAGAGAGGATTCTACCTCTCGAACCAGCATGGTATAAGGAACAGACTCAAGAGACCCACGTTGAAACCCCTGCTTGGCCACAGAAGCAGCCATTTCTGTGTATTCTCTTCCTGGAAAATGGTGAAAAGGATCACCATAAACCAGAATTAACTTGATGTCACATTATTATTATTATGTTTATTATATCTCTGGCAGAGCATAAAAACACTATACTTTTAGACCACAACTGGGAACTGTAATTTTAAAAAAAAATCAAACTCTGCAGGTGGATGGTGTACCCAACTCAGATTGTTTCTCTGTACCCCTGATTGGACCATTAGCCCGAACTATCAAACTACAAGCTTTAGAAATAAAAGTTTAGCTAAGACTGTAGGGAAGAAACATTTAAAAGGGTTTACCTCTGATCAGAACACTTCTGCTTTCTACTTGAGCACAGCTAGAGGTTGGACTGGTTTAGAGTTCTGGAATTAACTTAGACTGTTTCGTTTCCATCTACTGTTGCAATAGGTTCCCCAGGGCAATGTTGTTAGTGACATGAAATCCTCTCACCTTTCCTGCCCATGGTTGCGTCAACAGAATTGTTTTGCCGGAGCAAACATGAGGAAAGTCATCTTAAAGCACATGAGAAAACCCCTCGCCACACCCTTGTGGGGCAAGGCTCCATTGGTATAGGGAAGCTGGATTTCTTTTTATGGAGGTATGGTGGTGGACTTTGAGAGGTTCAGTATATAATAAATGTTGCCCACTTATTGAATGGAATAATAACAGCAATTTGCCACATTGGATACTGTTGAAATCGTGATCACGTGCATGTGGATAAGAAATGTTTAATAAATAAAGTAAAATTAAGATAACATTCTAGAGCAGCCTATAACAGTGGTTTTTATACTTCTGGCTGATCTCTTTCTGCCCTTTTTCTTCTGGGGTCTATGAGTTCACGCCACAGATTCACAGAGCTCAGAAAAGCACAGCCAGCTTTGGTGAAAGTTTCTAAGATTTGCGGTTCTAAAAACTGACATTTCCAAACAATGTAGATCTGAGGTGACACCTATAGAATAAGTGTGCGAGCTAGAACTGCATTTTCTTGGTTTCGTGCCAAAAGAGTAGGACAGAAAACAGTTAAAATTCAGGATGCGTGGGTGTTTTGCTTGTTAGTATACAAGGGCACCATGCTGTTTGTAGTGACCTGTGTATATACGAGGCTTTATAAAGTACAAAATAACATGCTCTTGTAAAATTTGACATGATGGAAGAAGAGGGCGGGGATGAAGGCAAGATTAATCAGGGGAATAATGTAAGGTTGCCAAATATTTGTGAGGCGTGTAAAAGAACAGCTTGGTTCACAAACATTTGTTTTCTGCAGGAAATGAAATGTTTGGGGAGGCTTTTGAGGCTGAATTACCAGGGGCTGATGAAGAAGTGGATTCCGTCTGTATCACATCATTATTAATGATGACTATTTCACAGTCAAGATTATTTAATTCGATTAAACTTCAGTTGTAATCCAAGTTAGTTTGGCTTGGATAGCTCAGTTTGGTTTGGTGGTTCGTGTCGGTTTGTTTTTTGGCCGAAGAGGGTGTTTGAGGCTTCTCAGCCCCACCTCCTCCAGCAGGCGCCCACTCAGGGGCAGCACCCGGAGGAGGCGGAGCAGGGAAGCCAGGCATGCTGAGTGGGCAACTCACCAGAGGAGGCGGAGCTAGGAAGTGCCTGTTCGGCTGAAAAACGAACTCGCACAAACTGCTGAACGAGCGGTTCGTGCCCATCTCCAGTAGCGATTCTGCACGAACGTGGTCCGCTGCACTTTCGCATCTAAAATTTGGAATTTCGAACTGAATCCACCTTCTCCTCAGTTCAGCGTCTCTGAGTTGTTGGGGCTGAGCCCCAGAAGTTAGTTTTTGGCCAATTTCTCCAACAGCAGTGGAAATCAGTTAAATAACCAAACCTGACAAGTAAACAGGGTTGCCTCAGCTGGAACCTGACAAGTCGGTGGGAGACTTTTGTCTTTCCCCCTCCCACCTGTTTTCTGGAAAATAAAAGCATCTCCCACGGCAATGGTCTCTGACCTTTTGTTGCGCTGTTGTTGCTTTAATCACTGAGAATAAACAAACACACAAACTCAGCCTCTGGCACCCATTCACCTTTCCAGGGCTGAAGGCCTGTCAAGGACTGTTTGAAAGCCGCCCCCAAGCCTCTAGTGACACCTTAGCCATTGGCGGGCATGGTGGTAGGCCTTTGCGCCCATGCCCTCTCTTCCCTTCAGCGGGCAGCACAAAAAGGGACCCCTCCCGTTCCGTGTCCTCACGAACGATGGCCTGTAAATCAGGAGACATCAATTTTAATTTCATTTATTTATTAGAATTTTTATGCTGTCCTTCCACTGGGAAGTGGAAGCTTCAACTGCAAGATAAAGATGAGTAAGACTGTGGTATTTTGGGGCGCTGGTGAAAGCCAAAGGGGAATTGCTGTATCTCTTCCAGGACTCCAATAAGTTGGTCATATAGAATCATAGAATAATTGAGGTGGAAGGGACCCGTAAGGCCATCCAGCCCAACCCCCTAATCAACGCAGGAATCCATTCTGTGTCTAGTCGCGCTGGCCACGTGACCACGGAAACTGTCTGCGTACAAATGCTGGCTCTCCGGCTTGGAAACGGGGATGAGCACTGCACCCTAGAGTCGGACATGACTGCACTAAATGTCAAGGGGAACTTGACATTTTCATGATCACTTTACTGATCATGTGTAATTTTCAGCATTTTAAGGAACATTTTAGGAGGTTGTTTCTTGGAAGAATCATCATATAAAAGCTGAAAACGGGGTGGAGAGGGGATCAGTGACCTTCCAGATGTTGTTGAATTGTAACTTCCAACATCCCTTATTCCTGACCAGACTGGCTACGGCTGATGGTAATGGGGATCCAGCCATACCATACCTACCACAGCCATGCCTTAAAAAAACAAACCCTAAACATGGTTGTTTGTTCAACCTGTAGGGTTCTCTCCCACATTTCCAATAGATATCTTTACTGCAGTTTCAGAGAAGGATCACTAGGGGGCGCCCTCCCTCCAAATTACCAACCAAGGAAAATGATTCCTCAAATATTTGATCTATTGGGACATGTGTAGAGTCTTTACCACGTATTTTAAAATTAGAAACACGGTACAAAGGAGAGGGTGGACATTAACCAAGCTATGCATTAATACATTTAATTTGGAGATAAGAGGGAACATTTCTCACTATCTGAGGAATGTTAGGTGAAACAGCCTTCCGAGGACAATCAGTGGAGCAAAGAAACTGATTAACTTAAACAACAGAATAGTGTTCAGAGTTGTTTTCCAGGGTGAATTTTAATTTGAGTCTTCAGTTCTTCCATACCTGAGCAGGGTAGATCCCTCTTCCACGCTCCCAAAGTTGTTGTTGTTTCAGAATTTGTGGCAGTTCGTTTTTTTTCAAAAAGCTCAAATTCAAAGAAATGAACCTGTCTAATCTCTGGTTTGGGAATAGAATTGCTTCTACAGTAGAGGTTTTAAGCACAGCAATGGCATACCTTCCCACAGCCTGCAAGAATCAGAATCAACCTAAAGAGCAATACCCTTTTTTTTTGTGCACACCATTTTTTATTTTTGTGTACACAGGAATATTCTCCATACAGAGAAGATTCTTTCCAATATTACTGAAAAGGTGCCTGCTTGCTGGCTTTCTGCTGACAATGAATAGCCTCTCAACTGTACATGAATCTCTTTTTGTAGAGAGAGAGAGCGTTTTTTAAAAAAAAACATAATATTATTGGGTTATTTTCATAATTTCTTCTGTCTTAGTCCCCCTTTTTGTATAGCAAAATATTTTGCAATTTATCAAATGAAATAGCGAGAGAAAAATTCCCCCACTGGAAAAAGCAGTGAGAGTTAGAAACCAACACAGATTTGTCAAGACCAACTAATTTTCTCTAATTTTTTGATTGGGTAACCTCCCTGGTAGATGGTGGGAATGTTGTAGCCATAATATATCTTGACCTTGGCAAAGCTTTTGACAAAGAGCCCCATGGTATCATGATTAGCAACCTAACTAGCTATGAGATGGACAGAATAACTTTCAGGTAGATGCACAACTGGTTACAGAATCATACTCAGAAAGTGCTTGTTAGCAACCTAACTAGCTACGAGATGGACAGAATAACTCTCAGGTAGATGCACAACTGAGAGAGTGCTTATCAATGGCTCTTTCTCAGACTGGGAGGAGGTAATATTTTGGTACCACAAAGCTTATTTCTGGGCCCATTGCTCTTCAACATTTTTATTAATGGCTTGGATGAAGGGGTGCAGTAAATACTGATCCCATTTGTGGATGGACTAGCTAATGCCCTGGAAGACAGAAACAAAATTCAAAAAGATCTTGATAGGCTCAAGCACCAGTTTGAAAACAACAGAATGAAGTTTAACAGGGATATCAGGGATAAGTGCCAGGTTCCATACCCCCCCCGGGGGGGGGGACCAAACACACAGTTACAAGATGGGGAATACTTTGTTCACTAATACTACAAGCAAGAAGGATCTTGGAATAGTTGTAGATCACAAGCTGTGATGCAGCGGCCAAAAAGGCCAATGCTATTCTAGGCTGCATGAACAGATGCATTGTTTCCAAATCCTGCAAGGTGCTAGTCCCCCCTCTATTCAGCACTGGTTAGGCCTCACATTGTGTACGGTAGCCAATTCTAGCCACCGCACCTTAAGAAGAATGCAGACAAAATGGAGCAGGTTTGAAGGAGGAAACAAAGATGATTAGGGGGACTGGAAACCAAGCCTTTTGAGAAGACTGGGCATCTTTAACCTTGAGAAAAGAAGACTGAAGGGAGATAGGATAGCACTCTTCAAATGCTTGAAAGGTTGTCATATAGACTGAGGATGGGCAGGATCTGTTCTCAATCATTTGCTCCAGTCACCTCTTTGCCTGATCCTGCTGCCTCTTTGTTCTCTGCTGCCAGATGTGCAGAGAGAGCTGTCCTGGCTCCTGGAAGGACAGGTATGCGAAGCAGGACACTTTCAATGAAAAGCACAGTGGCCCCAGGAAGGCTCAGTAACACCTGTTCAGCTTGGACAGGCCAATGTGGCAATTGTGTTTGTGTTTTAATTGCTGCAAACCCGGCCTAAGAAGACACATGCGGGCAAAACGTAAAACATTCAAACCCGACCGTTTGGTCGATGTGTGGCTGCTTTTTGGCACGGAGGCAGAAGGACAGGGGGTCCCTTAGGTGTGTGAGTTTTGGAAAAAGGCAGGCGTTGTTCGCCGTTCACCTGAAACCAACCCAGATGCCTATCAGGTGAGCTGTACCTTAGCCGAAGAGTAATGGCTGCCTATCAGATGCCTTTAGGTTGACCAAATAACCGTGTAATGTGGCTGGCACCGGAGCAAGCTGAGCCCCCTCGGGGCCCGATTTGAGAGGGGGATAAAGACCTCCGTGTTGTTTTACTCCCATCCAATTATTTAAAC